TAATAATCCTTACATTTGATAACGTGCCTTTCATGTCAGGAAGATATCTCAAAGCGCTTCACAGGATAAAGTGGAGTGACTATGTGTTGTGCCGGCAAACGTGGCAGCCAATTTGCACACAGATATGTGCCACAAACTTCCATGAATTGAGCTTGATCTGGTGTTTGTGGAAGGTAGAGCTGGGAAGCTGATTCGGTTTAAGCTTACAGCCCTCTGGGGTATCAGTGAAATGCGGTAACGTGATCTGCTTTTCCGCTCTTTTTAGGACTATGAGCTTGCTTCCATTGTAACCTGTCCCATAGTCTTGTTGCGTAACAACTGAGGCTGCTGCTCATTTTATATAAATCAGATTACCAACTGTTGTCTGTTCAGTAAATGAAATAAAGTTGTATCATTTGCCTTTGTTCTCATAGAATCATAGAATTATACAGCTCAGAAGGAGGCCATTCAGCCCATTATGTCTGTGCCGGCTCTTTTAAAAGAGCTTTCCAAATCAATCCCACTCTCCTGCTCTCTCCCCATAGCCCTGCAAACTTGATCTAATCTAACCTTGTTCTGCTGCACAATATCTAATTTACCGTGGTTACTTTGACATTGCAGTGATCTAACATGATTCAAGAGCAAATATAAACAGTCCAGATGTCCCACTGATCACAGAAGCATCTGATCTCCATTGCTCAGAAATCCATGTCTGGTTTTCCTCTGTAGACAGAACATAGCATTTGTTTTATGGCTTAAAAGCTTAGTAGGAATCAAGTTCTCTGTTACTTTAAATTACCCCAGAACAATATTTACATAGCAGCACACTGATTTTGTCATTTTTTATTGTTGATATTTTTTAAACAGTAACTTAGATTGTCGTTGCACTTTGTGAAGCAGTTTGAGATGTTCTCGACGTTATACTTCTGAGATGAAAGACGCTATGTCAAAGAATAATAATTTGCATTTCATCCCAAAAGTACACAGTCAATTCACTTTACAATACATTTTGTGAAGTGCTTTGAGACATCTCAGCGATGTGATAAAGCGCTATATCAAATGCAAGGATTATTATTATTTATAAGCGCTATATAAAATGTTACTATTATGGATGTATGGTTTCTGCTTAATGGATATTTTTGTTACTTTGCAAAGGGTAATTTTAATTTCAAGACAGACACTAGGAAGTTTTTCTTCACCTAGAGGGTAGTTATCAACAACTCTAACCATTAATTGCATTTGTATAGATCCTTTCGCATTGGGAGGATGTCCCAAGGCCCTGGACAGTTGAGAATTTGCACCTGAGCTGGATTTGGGTGGGTGGTGAGCTAAGGGGAGCATCGTTCCACATTAGCTCTGTGAGTTGGAATGGGCACACATGTAGATTGATTACTAGGGAAGTGCTGCATTGTTGCAGGAGCTGTCTGTTAAAAGGTACAAACTCTAGTCCCAACAATCCTTCAGATTATTTGATCATTCTACCTAAGGGCACTTTATAGTAATAATGCTAATAGTAATTCTTGTGGTGATTATCAGTGGAACCTTGCTGGAGCAAACTGTGTTTTCCTACAAAATCAGTGCTTGCAGGTAATTGATTTGATGTTATTTTTTGGGTGCACTGTTGCAAGTTTCTTTTATCTAAATTGTACAAGCATTTCTAACAGGATTCAGTTGGCATTGGAGGGTCATGAACCACGTCAGCCTGGGTGTTAGTCTGACTCATTTGGTGCACTCTCACCTCTTGAGTCAGACGGTTGTGGATTAAAGCCCAGTGTTGGGACTTTGAGCTCATAGAAATGTCTGACAATCCAGTGCAATAATGGGGGTTTGCTGCATTGTCAGAGGTACAATTCTTTGATTGTGATGTTAAATAAAGACCCCATCTGCTGTTCATGTGGACGTTAAAAACTATTGTAAAAGAGAAGGGAGTTTCTCTTTGTGTCCTGGCATAAAGTCCCCCAAATAAACTGGTTATTCACTTCATGGCTGTTTGCAGGACATTGCTGTGTGAAAATTAGCTGCCGCATTTGCCTACCAAACACAGCCACTACACCTTGCAAGAAAACCTGCGAAGTGCTTTGAGATTGTTTGATAAGGCTCTATATCAAAACAACAATAACAACTTACATTGTCTTCGGCCCACAGAAATACACAATCAATCAACTGTACAGTATATCCTGTGAAGCGTTTTGAGAAATCCCAATGATGTGATAAGTCATTTGCAAGGATTAGTATGATTATTATTATATAGCTTTCTTATGTAGAATAAAGTCTCAGAGGGCTTTACATTGTAAGGATTACTATTTTAAATCCCAGACTGGTGGTTTCATCAAAGTATTCATCCTAGTGCATAAATCTGCTGCACGTCTATCAATTGACCCGGTGAATATTGGCATGACCCATGGAGAAAGACAAATTGATCATAGGTTCAGATCTGTAAGTAATTCAGTGAATATTCATTCAGAGATTTGCACTCAGCAGAGGGTTTGGCAGCAGGATTACATTTTAATTCATTTTCCACAGCATAGGCTGAAACCGCGGATTTCCCTGGGGTACCATTGATATATATTAACAAATAAAAGGAACCAGGCTTGCCAGTACTTGATTTCTTTTAAAGAGCGTTCATATAGTAATACGCCAAATAGGTTGAGTATGTCTGTGATTCGCAGCTAACAACAATTGTAACAATCTGGTCTCAAGATCAAAACACTGGGGGCTCCTGATCTCATTTTCTTGGAATGAGATGTAAACTTGGGACCTCTCCTACCTGTTTAGTTGGATATTTGAAGATCCCACGGCATTACTGGAAATGAAAAAGGAGCTGTCATTTATGCATAAACAGAACCAGTATTTGTGACTTTAGTAATCTCTCATTCATTTACATGGGATACTAGCTTTGGGTTTCTTTTTAGTGAAGTACTCTCAATGTCGCTGTGAAGTGAGCTGTATAATTGCAAGTTGTTGCTGTTTATATAGCCCCATTAACGGAGGGATATGAATGCCAGTTGTTGGTGCAAAAATGCAAGTTGTGCTACAGGAAGTTTAATTTGCAGGTCGGTTTAACCATGTGTAGAAAGGGAATTCCAAGTGTCCTTAGTTATGCAATGATATATATTCCTTGGGTGTGTTTGAACAGATACCAGTCATTCATATAGTGTACTGCTTGCATGCACATTTAAACCACCAGCCACAATATTTCCAGCTTTATGAGGTGTCCAATCTGATCAGCGACTATTATTTGCACTTTAAAGCATTTTCAAAGTGTATTTTTATAATCCTTATTAAAGTAAAGCTAGCTTGTTTGGAATTTTCAAAGTGGAGCCATTCCCATTAAATGATGGTTTGCAAGCCAGAAATTCCTGACAGCTCACCTTTCAGACATTAGGACCATAATATGTAGAACAAGAGATTGCTATTCAGTTGATTAAACCAGTTTCTTCCACACTGGATGCACAATTTGCCTGGCCATGGCATCTGATCAAACCTAATAAATTGTTCAGGTGGAAGCCAACTGACCACAGAAAAACCTCTGAAACAAATCTTGTGAAAAGTTTCCAAGGCAATCAGCACGTCTCCAAGATGTTAATCTAATCCGACAAACCACAATGTTCAACTCTCGCCAATCGAACGCAGCAGATGTGCAAGTTACCATTGTATTCTAAAGTGTTTCCTCATCTAAGAAAGGGGTGAATAAGGGGAAACCTCCCGACTCCTGGGTCCAGTGTGTCAGAGCTTCCTTCATAAAGTGATGTCAGCAATGCTTCCTGTACTTTGGCTAAGATCAAATGTAGTCTCGTTCTTAGACAGTTACTTCTGGAACTAGTGTTCTGGGGAAGCTCATCTCCTGTTGAGATTTCCTAACCAAATCTCACCCCTAACTGGCGCATTATGGGAAAGATTAGGCAAGGATTATTAAAGATTGAGCTCCCAGCTGCAGCTATGCTTTCAACCCTATGTTGGTTGTGATCGGTGTTGCAGTACTTCCGATCTAAGGAGTTTGATCTGCTCTCACAAAGAGGAAGCAGAGAATACTTGAGCTCGGAGCTACCTTGAGCACTTGGTCACTAGGCACAGACCGGGCTTGCCCTACCGGAGAGGTGATCATGTACCTGACTTGCTCAGGTGGCCGTGAAGACATGGTTCAGGTTCTTTAACAATTTGGGGCCTAGAAGGGTTTGGGGGATTAGGGTTTGTCTGCAGGGAAAGAACTCTCGCTCACCAATAAAACAAAATAGGGTCCATGCAAAGAAAGGGATGTCAGCAAAGAATTTTGACCCGGAAGTTGGCCATGATTTAGCACAGGAAAAAGATTATCAATGCTGGAAGCCAGGTGTAGCACACTTCAGTGTTTGGTAAGCAAACGCGGCAGCTAATTTTCACACAGCGATGTCCTGCAAACAGCCATGAAGTGAATAACCAGTTTATTTGGGGGACTTTATGCCAGGACACAAAGAGAAACTCCCTTCTCTTTTACAATAGTTTTAACGTCCACATGAACAGCAGATGGGGTCTTTATTTAACATCACAATAAAAGAATTGTACCTCTGACAATGCAGCAAACCCCCATTATTGCACTGGATTGTCAGACATTTCTATGAGCTCAAAGTCCCATCACTGGGCTTGAATCCACAACCGTCTGACTCAAGAGGTGAGAGTGCACCAAATGAGTCAGACTAACACCCAGGCTGACGTGGTTCATGACCCTCCAATGCCAACTGAATCCTGTTAGAAATGCTTGTACAATTTAGATAAAAGAAACTTGCAACAGTGCACCCAAAAAATAACATCAAATCAATTACCTGCAAGCACTGATTTTGTAGGAAAACACAGTTTGCTCCAGCAAGGTTCCACTGATAATCACCACAAGAATTACTATTAGCATTATTACTATATAGTGCCCTTATGTAGAATGATCAAATAATCTGAAGGATTGTTGGGACTAGAGTTTGTACTTTTTAACAGACAGCTCCTGCAACAATTTATTTTCTGTGCTCATTTCTATGCAACCCTCTTTGTTGCAGAATGGTCCTATATGAATGCTGCCCAGGTTATATGAGCCTCGATGGAACACAGGGGTGCCCAGCAGGTAATTTTTTTTTTTTGAAACATCCTCGTTTAATGATGGTAGCTAAAACTTAACAGACTTTGGCCTTTTTTAAAAAATCTTAATAGTAAACATATAAACATTCCACTGAAATAAACTGAATTTGTTTTGTTACAGTGTACTTTGTATTATTTCCTTATGTCACTAACTTTTGCATCAGTCACGTGTCAATTTGCTTCTCAGAAGAAATGGACTCGTAACGAAAGAAAAATTTCCACTGATTTCACAGATTATCAAAAAAATCATTCATAATCTGGAGTGATTTAAAAGGCTTTGGGTCATCAATAGTCTTTTCCTATCTTGTTCATTCTTAAGGCTTTACCCTCACCTACGGTTTTAAGTCATGCTTTTAGACAACTCAAAACTTGCTTTCGGGACAACAATGTCTTATGAAATCTAGATGAAATTTCCAGCCAATACTCAGTGACTGAGTTTGTTGGTGCAAAAAATAGTCAACTCTTCAATTTACTAATAACCTCAGATGCATATTCAACTGTTCATGATAATCATAATCCTTGCATTTGATATAACATCTTATCACATTATTGAAACATCTCAGAGCACTTCACAGGATTTACAACAACTACAACAAGATTTACGGTAAAGACTGTATCTATATGAACTGGCAGACAATTTGCACACAACAATGTCCCACAAACAGGCATAAAATGAATGACCAATTTATTTGAGGGATTGTTGGCCCAGGAGATCAGCTCCCTTTTCTTTTCAAATAGTGCCATAAAATTGAACAGGCAGTGTCAGACTAGACTAGAAAGTTCGTTGAAACCATTGTAAATGATATAAAACATGCTTCACGTTACCCTGGCTCCTCTGTCTTTTGGCACGTATGCTGTAATAGATTTGAACTGTCTCCCCTGCGAAGTGGAGTCCTGTAGCTCAGTGGTCAGCGCACTAGCTTTGCAAGTGAGAGACCTGGGTTCGATTCCTGGCAGAGTGAAACCTTGGACAACTTTCCTTACGCCACACGCCTGATAATAATCCCTCAAAAAAAAAATTGGTCATTTTCAATCCACGACTGTTTGTGGGACACTGCTGTACGCAATTGGCTGCCGCATTTCGCCCACAAAAGTACAGTCAATTTACTTTACAGTCTATTCTGTGAAGTGCTTTGAGATGTCGAGAAGACGTGAAAAGTGCTATATCAAATGCAAGGATTAAAAAATTGCTCCTCACTGACTTCCTTGGAAATACACCTAACTACTTTCAAGAAAGCTTACTCCATATTCTCAAATCCTGCCTCAATAAAGAATTTCCTAAATGGATTATTTGTTGGGTAACATGCCTTAGCAATGTTCCCATCTTGTTCGTAATAGAGCACCATGACCGTAAATTGTTTGTTGTGCCATTGTTTGTTGTGTATTTCACGGAATCGTGAAACTTAAACAAATCTGGGAAATCAGGTAGCACTCTATGCAGGTAAAATTATAAAATTATAACCCTTTGTGATTGTACTGAAATGCATGGCAGGAAAAGAAGATCTTGTCTGACTTCATTTTATTTCTTTTAGCTTGACAGGATTGCACAGATTAACACTTGGCACAAGAACTGCTAGAAATAAAACTTGAAATGGGATGTTTCCTTGTATTAGAGTAAGCCTAGAACTGGTGCTAACATGCAATGCATAGCTAGCTGAAAAACATGTAGCATAGTCACCCTCTCACCACATACAACTTTAAAAGCATCTAGTGTTTATTATTATCATTTTCACTTCATGGCTGTTTAAGGAATATTGCTGTAATCAAATTGGCTGACATGTTTGCCTACAAATAAACAATCTCCACACTCACAGTAAATCCTATAAAGCATTTTGAGACGTTTCAAATATGGCACTATATCAAATGCACATATTATTTATTTATTATTATCATTGATCTTAATAGGAATCCCCAAATAAAATTGGACACTCACAGTATGGCTGGTTGTGGGATATTTCTGTGTGCAACTGGCTGCCGCATTTATAAAATAATAATAATCCTTGCATTTGAGATAGCTCTTTTCATGTCTTCTAGACGTCTCAAAGCACTTCACAGAATATACTGTGAAGTGAATTGACTGTATCTTTGTGGGCGAAACACGGCAGCCAATTGCGCACAGCAGTGTCCCACAAACAGTTGTGGATTGAAGTGACAAGTTTATTATTGGTTTTTTTCTTGAGGGATTATTATCAGGCTTGTGGAGCAAGGAAACTTGCCCAAAGTTTTGCCCTGCCTGGAATCAAACCCAAGTCTCTCGCTTGCGAGGCAAGTGCTCTAACCACTGAGCTACAGGACTCCACATACATGTCACTCCACTTACAGTATATCCTGCGAAGCACTTTGAGATGTCTCGATGATGTGATAAAATGTAAGGATTATTTTTATTAGTTATCCCAATTGCTGTCATTAAACTAAATCTTCCCTTTGTATTTTTTTTCCTTCAGTTGCCCCTATTGATCATGTCTACAGTACCTTGGATATTGTGGGTGCCACAACTACACAGGAGTATTCAGATAGATCTAATCTAAGAAAAGAGATTGAAGGAATTGGCTCATTTACATTCTTTGCACCGAGTAATGAAGCCTGGACGATCTTAGATTCTGTAAGTTATCTGTGAATCAAGTCACGAGGCAAACAGCACTCTTCAGCACAATCAGAACATTTTAGACAAGAAGATCACGCCAATACTGCTGGTGAATGGCAATGCAGCTACTAATGGTGCTTGGATGATGATAATGATCAGTAGTTTTGAGAAAGCTTTGTGGGGAGATGTTCTTTGAAATAGAACACCACCCCCATGCCTAAGATGTGGTGCACGTGTTAGATTTCAAAGAGCTTCTGTTCACAAAGTGAACATGATTCCATTATAGCGATCAACAGATCTGAAAAGATCAAGACTTTGGCTCAATCAGCCCTCATCTCAAACGAAAAAGAGATCTGCACAGATGTAGTTTGCTCCCTGATTTATTCTCTTACTCGCCACGGAAAAGGGTAGTTAGAGAACTAGCCCGGGAGCAAAAAAAAATTCAAGATTAAATTAAAGTAATATATAATACTAAGAGAAATTTAGAAATTAAATTAAAAAAAGAAAATCATATGCCTGTATTTGTAATTGTCACTAAGTTATTCAAATTACTTGCACAATGTTCAGTCAAGAGCAGTTTTTTTTACAAGACGGATGGGGATATTTTCGGGTATCAAGTCAACTTGCTAGTGAGATTTCCTAGATTTAAATAATATGAGTCTAAACAGGAATGTTATTTTAAACAGCATTACAGGATTAAGATGCCAAATACTGTACTGGTTAAGTAACTGGCAATTGCTTTTGATTTCCTATTAGGAAGTTCGCAATGCACTGCTAAGCAATGTGAACATTGAACTCTTAAACGCCTTACATTACCACATGGTTAACAAACGGTTAATGACTAAGGATTTGAAGAATGGATTAACGCTGCAGTCAATGCACGATGACCAGACTCTCCTCATCAATCATTACTCAAATGGGGTATGTTTGCCACCTTTAACATATTTAATATATTTAAAAAAAACTTATTTTAGTATTTTAATGGTTATTTTGTTTAAAATAACATAGCAAAATGGTTTCTTTGTTATAATAATAATAATAATAATATAATCATTATCCTCACATTTGGTATGGCACCTTTCACATCAGGAGGATGTCACAAAGCTCTTCAACAATGACAACAAATTGCATTTATATAGCATCTTTCACATCAGAAGGACAGCCCAAGGTACTGGACAGTTAAGAGTTTGCACTGGGGTGGTAAAGATGAATGTAAGCATGGTCAGAGAGGCAGGTTCTTGAGACAGATCTTGAAGGAGGTGAAGGAACTCTAGAGGCTCCAAGATGGAGTACCAGAGAGTGGGGACAGAAAGGTTGAAAGCCTGTCTGCCAATTTTGGGGCAGGCAGGGTGGGGGACATGAAGCAGGCTAATCCCACTGAGCAGAGGAAGCAGTCAAGTTGGTAGTTTTAAGAAGGTTGTAGAGGGCGGGTAGGAGAAATCCATGGAGGGATTTAAAATTGAGGATAAAGATCTTGAACTCAATCCGTTGGGGGATAGGGAGCCAATGGAGTTGAGTGAGGAAGTAGCTGATAGACTTGTGGAGCCCAGTGCTTGACAGAATGTACTGACTCTATTTTGTAGTCAAACCCAGAAGCCCACCTGCGCACAGCAATGATGTACAATCAACTATGAAGTGATTGATCTTTAATAATAATAATAATAATCCTTGCATTTGATATAATATAGTGAAACCCCATTATAATGAGCTTTATTATAGAGCTGGTTTACTTATAATGCACATAGGTTGTGGACCCCAAGATGTTCCTACCCTACTACAGACAATCTTGACATTTGCTGCCCAAACCCCTTATCAAATTTGAAATCTTGCTAGAAATCGCTTTGTTGTGCTTGAAAATATGAAAGCGCATTGGAAAGGCAACCTTGAGCTTATGCATCTATGTTCAAAGTACATAACTGTTGAGAGGTTTCAGATCTTAGAAGTTTCTACAATGTTTACTTTCCATTTCCCCTTGCGATAGGTTGTTACAGTCAACTGTGCTAGAATACTTCTTGCAAACCAGATTGCTACCAATGGTGTTGTGCACGTGATTGACCGAGTTATCACAGCAGTTGGTTACACCATAGAGGACTTCATTGAGAATGATGAGGAGCTCTTATCTCTCAGAGTAAGTGTGCTATATAATAGACATTCCTGAATTACTGGCACTGAAATGATCACAAAAAGGATGTGCTCAGCTGGGAGCCTGACACACACAGATATCACTTGCCATGATTCCAGTTTCCAGATACTGAGAACTCACAGAGGTATAATTTCTGTTTGTCACTTCCAGGGCCGAGGGACACACACACACATTCACACACACACACCCACATCCACAAACACACTTACTTGTCAATGCCCATAGAGCATAGGCCCAGGTTGACAGGTGAAGGCATTAAGGGCCCTAAGGTTTACATTGGGGTATAACAGGAATGACATTTGCTAAAACCACACAGCTTAATAGTACAAGGAGCTAGTAGTTCAAAGTTCATCTCTCTCTTAAGGATGGCATGAATGAGAATTATTTGCTTTCAGGCTGCTACCACTGCCTCTGGGGTGCTGGCGAAACTTGGCAAGAAAGGACATTACACTCTCTTTGCTCCGACCAATGCTGCCTTTGACAAGCTTCCTCAAGATGTCCTGCAACGCATCCTAAGTGATCCTGTGGCACTCAAAGGTACATTGTGAACTGGTATTACTGCTACTACTAATAATCCTGACAATTGATTCAGCGTCTTTCACATCGGGAGAATGACTCAAAGCACTTTATAGAATTCACAGTAAAGTGTAGTAAATGCTAAGAAATCAGAAGAGCATTCCAAAACTTGGGAGTCCTGTAGCTCAGTGGTTAGAGCACTCGCTTTGCACGTGAGAGACCTGAGTTCAATTCCAGGCAGGGCGAAACCTTGGGCAAGTTTCCTTACTCCAGACGCCTAATAATAATCCCTCCAAAAAACAAAACAATAATAAAATTGGTCATTTTCAATCCATGACTGTTTGCTGTGCGCAATTGGCTGCCGCGTTCGCCCACAGATATACAGTCAATTCACTTTGCGAGAAGCGCTTTGGGATGTCTGGAAGATGTGAAAAGCGCTATATCAAATGCAAGGATTATTATTATATATATTATTATAAAACACTTCACAGGACACACTGCAAACTGCCGTGACTGTGAGTGTCGAGGCCAAGTGGGCAAATGCAGCATCCATTTACATGCAGCAATGTCCCACAAACAGCACAGAGTGAATGACCAATTCTATTTGGGAGATTGTTGGGCAAGACACTGGGATAAAGTTCTTTGTCTTTTTGAATAGTGCCATCAAATGGTTAACGTCCATCTGAACAGGACCTAATTTTAGGGAAATGAGTCTCTCTTATTGTGGTGGCCAATGGTGCCATCAGTAGTAGTGAAATGATCACATTTAATTAAATTAAGCAGTTTCAGTTGGTTAAATTCTAGCAGTACCCCAATGCACAAGCCTTGGCTCTTACCAACCTACTTACGTAATTCCTGTAGAATTAAGTAAGTAGGGTGCATCCCTGTGTGTGTGTAGGGGTGGGTGGGGGGGCGTGGAGACTGCATTCCATTTCAGACACAGAGATATTTTCAGTATAGGTGGCATATATATTTGAAAATTTCAGTCTAATCTGGGTTTCCATAACTATCAAGAAATCCGATGACCCCCCCACCAAAAAAGTTAAATTTATTCTTCATGATTTGATTTCTAGATCTTCACACTTGTCTTCAAATACTTCATGCCCTAACACCGCCCTACCTCTCCGACCTGCTTAATCCCCAACCCACTGCCCACTCAACTGGCAACTGGCCTCCTGCATGTTCCTCGTGCCCTCTGTTCCATTATTGGTGGCCGCGATTTCAGCCACTATGCCCCGAAACTCTGGATCACTCTTCCTCTATCCCTCTGCCTTGCCCCTTTGTGCCTGAAGACCTTCCTCTTCGAGTGTGCCAACGGTCACCTCCCTCCTCTCCCAGCTCAGTGTCATGCTCCCCCACTGTCAAGTGCTCTGGGATGCTACCCTGTGTGAGGGGTGCTGTATAAATGCAAGCTGTTGTTGTTCTGTTCACAATACCACAATACATGATTCAATATTGTGGTAAATGTTATCTATCAGGAAACCTGACTCCAAACATTTTACTGAATTCAACAGTAAATTCCATATCTAAACAGAATGGAATTTATTTGTGAAGAAAATTGTTTTACGAGAACAGCTGGGTTCTTTCCCGAAACCCTCTTAAAGTGTTTGTGTTGAGTTCAATAACTGGCTCAGTTTCAGTTGGCACGTGTGTTAACTTCTTCAACATACAAATAACCTTTGTGTTATTAAAGAAATATTTCTTGTGTAAGAGTTTGAGTTGATGCCTGAACGCACTGAAGGACTGTCTCCTCTTAACAGCTGTTCCAGTTTCAACAATGACTAAGTTATTGAAATTGCAGATTTCAGTACTCCATGAACACAAGTCTGAAACTATTTTTTAAAAAAGTTCTTATTAGTTTCATTACATTTGTTGTGTGTAAGCCTGAGTCAGTTGAGCCAATCAGGAGGGCCTCGGTCTTGCTGACATTGAGTTGGAGAAAGTTGTCCTTCGTCCAGGAATTGATGTCGGACAGGCAGTCGGTCAGTACGCCAGTAGTCCTGGAGTTGAGGGTGGAGGCAGAGAGATAGAGTTGGGTGTCATCCGCTCTGCATACATGTGGAAATTTACCCCATGTCAGCGGATGATATCACCAAGGGGGAGCATGTAGATGGTGAAGAGGCGGGGACCGAGGACAGAGCCCTGAGGTACACCACATGAGATGGTGCGGAGCCTGAAGGAGGAGCCGTTTGCTGCAACAAAGTGGAGGCGGAGTGAAAGGTAGGACCTGAACCAGTCAAGGACAGAACCTTGAAGGTTGAGGTGGGAGAAGAGGCGGTGGAGGAGGATTGAATGGTTCACAGTGTTAAAGGCGGCGGAGAGGTTGGGGAGGATGAGGAGGCAGAGGGAGCCCTGGTCGCACATGGTCAGGATGTCATTGGTGATCTTGACCAGAGCAGTTTCAGTGCTGTGGGCAGCACAGAAGCCCGATTGGAGGGGTTCATAGAGGGAGTGGGAGGAGAGGAAAGAGCGAAGCTGGGAGGCAACTCTCTCTCAAGGACCTTGGACAGGAAAGGGAAGTTTGAGATGGGCCAGTAGCTGGATAGCTGTGATGGGTCAAGGGAAGGTTTCTTCAAGGTGGGGGTGATAGTGGCTGCTTTGAGGGGAGTAGGAACAGTGCCAGATGACGGAGAGATTGATGATAATAATAATAATAATAATAATAATAATAATAATAATAATAATAATAATAATAATAATAATAATCCTTGCATTTGATATAGCGCTTTTCACGTGGGGAGGATGTCCCAAAGCGCTTCACAGAACACACTGTAAAGTGAATTGGCTGTATATTTGTGGGCGAACGCGGCAGCCAATTGCGCGCAGCAATGTCCCACAAACAGTCGTAGATTGAAAATGACCAATTTATCATTGTTTTTGGTTTTGGAAGGATTATTATTAAACGTGTGGAGTAAGGAAACTTGCCCAAGGTTTCGCCCTCTGCTTGGCATTGAACTCAGGTCTCTCGCTTGCAAAGCGAGTGCTCTAACCACTGAGCTACAGGACTCCTACAGGATGTCGGCGAGTAGAGGGGCAAGGAGGTGGAGCTGGGATTTAAGGAGAGGGGTGGGATGGGGTCCAGGGAGCAGGTGGTGGGTTTCATGGAGGATATGGTGGTGAAGACAGAGGAGGGGTTGACAGGTTCAAAGGTGTGGAAGGAGGGATGGGTAGTTGTCGGAGTGTGGCGGGAGGTAGGGAGGGGGTGGAAGTTGGGGGTCAGTGGCAGCTGAGTGGATTCCCTCGATTTTGGACTTTAGGAAGTCCAGCATTTTCTCGCAGTGAGAGTCAGAGGAAAGAATCTGTGAGGCGTGGTGAGGAGGAGCGGGTTGGTGGTGGAGAACAGGAGCCTGGGGTTGCCCTTCGCCTCCAGGATTAACCTGGAATAGAAGGACAATTTGGCCGAGGCGAGAGCAGAGCGGTAGGTTTTGATGAGGTCCAGCCAGATGTGCCGGTAGATCGTTAGGCTGGATTTGAGCCAAGTGCATTGGCAGCCCACATCTGGCCCTTAAGCAAGAGGTGTGAAAGCATTACAACAGTATTATTATGTCTTGTTTCAAATAATTTCTCTCTATATATCCATTCAAAAGCATTCGCAATTTTGAAAATTTCTGTAAGATTCTTTCCCTCCCTCCAGTTTCTTGCCCCCAAATTTTGTTCAATGAACTGTTCAGCAATATTAACAACAACAAAACCACAACAAATTATACTTGTATAACGCCCTTCACGTCAGAAAGATGTCTCAGGGTGCTGGACAACAGGAGCCTTTGTGGTTTGATTGTCCACAATATCACTGTAGTATTGTCATATTATGACTGGAAGGGCAGTCTGACAGAGTGTATCTCTGATCGGGTCAGTTTGCAGACATTATGTGTCCTTATTTCCTTACAGCGTTGCTGAACTACCACATCCTCGAATCTGTCCAGTGCTCTGAGGCCATAATGTCGGGCTCAGCCTACACTACCTTGGAGGGATCTAATATAGAGATCGGTTGCGATGGTGACAGTTTGACTATAAATGGAAAGAAGATGGTCAATCGCAAGGACATTGTGACAACCAATGGCGTGATTCACTTAATCGATGAAGTCCTTATTCCAGATGCAGGTAAATGGCAGAACTTCATGTCCGTTCAGAGCTGACTCAGTGTCATGGTTCCATGAGGCAGATGTCAACTGAATGGGATTACTTATTTTTTAATAAAATACTCCTTCATTGAATTAAGAAAATAAGGACAAACACATATTATATCATTGATGCATTGTGGTGTGATCATGAATGTTTTCCCTTTTGTAATTCCAGCTATGCAAGTTCTGGAGCTGACCAGTGACAAACAGTCGACATTTTATGACTTAGTGAAGGAAACTGGATTGTCGGAGGCTCTTCGTGCAGATGGGGAATACACACTGCTTGCCCCCATGAATGATGCCTTCACTGGTAACTTGGTGTTGAGTAAAATGTTACACACGTGGTATTCTGTCTCTGTAATATACTGGTGCCTTTTTAAGTTGCATTCCAATAGTTTCCTTTTCTTCTGAACAGTAACACTATGAGGAGAGATGAGATAAACTGGGAATGTTCACACTAGATGGACCTTGGTCTTCTTTCACCTAGCAAATTCTTCTGTTCTTCTGTAACCAACTCTGTTGAGCATTTAAGCTGTATCACTGTTTTATTGTCTGACTGCAACTGGAACAACAGTTTGACAAGAGGATACAAAAAATAGATACAAGAAAGGCGTCCTCAAAGGGTGATGAATTGGTTTGGAACCATTGGCCCCAAATATCTCATGGTCTGAGACTTAAAACCATTGTCTTAATATGTAATGGCCCATCAGATTTTCAATTAATTTGGGAAAGAAAATGGTTTTGAATAGTTCCTAAAAAGATCTGCAGTAAAAGAAAACAGGCTTTTTAATTAAGACTGAGTGAGGATTTTTCAGTATTCTGCTTAATGTTAAATTTAAAGACAATGAACTTGAGACCATAAAAAATTCCAGGTCTCTGGTGCATTCCTGCCCATTTTTTTAACTCTGCACCATAGCAAGTAGGAGTTGATGGTAAATAAATATACTGATATTAATGTAGCGCCTTCATACTGTCAAACTCATTAACTCCAACATAGTTATTATCCAATAATATAACCAGCAACACCTATTTATGGAAACACTTTTGAATAAGCAGAAATGCACAATGGACAAGTTGAAAGATTTGTGGCACTTTGTGTGGTCATTTTAATAATATAAATAATAATAAATTCTTATTATTTTATTTTGAAATCTATTTTAAATCTATGTGAGTTGACAACCCCTCCTTAACATCATGCAAGGGATAGCAAGAGGCTGCTCTAGTCTGAAATTTCCTCTTTTATTTGGCAGAGAGCATTATGGCACTTGATCAGCGAATGCTCAAAGTGATTCTGCAGAACCATGTCCTGAAGCCGAAAGTGGCCCTCAGTGAGCTGTTTAATGAACAAAAGCTGCAGACACTGGGGGGAAACTACCTCCGAGTCTTTGTCTATCGCACTGTGAGTACTCACCTATTCATCAATAACCCTTACATTTGATATGATGCCTTTCACGTCAAGTGGAAATCTCAAAGCATTTCACAGGATTTTCCTGTGAAGTGCAGTGACTGCAGATTTTATAGGTTATTGCAGCAGCCAATTTGTACACAGCAGTGCCTCACACGCATGAAGTGAATGTTCAATAATTATTTGGGGAATGAAAGCTCGGTTTCATGAGGAACTCGGTTTAATGTCTTATCCCCCACCCTCTCCCTTTGCGACATATTCGCACCAGCTTGACCTGAAGTCATCTGCACTGTTGTAACCGAGTTTGAAAAACAAGCAACCTCTAGGCCGGCCCATCTAGTTAATGACCGACCTCATTGCCTACATTTACTCAAGGATGGAATAACTATCGTCAGATACAGTTACCACATTACACCTCACAATGCAGTGAAGCATCCATAAAACACTGCATTTCTCAGTAGGCCAAAGGAATCATGACTGTTAGAAATGTCAGGAAGATTAAGTGAAAGGGATCTTTGTGTCCCGACAGGCGGTGTGCATTGAGAATTCTTGCTTGATCCGAGGCAGCAAAGAGGGAAGAAATGGCATTATTCACACCATCAGAAAGGTTGTTGACCCTGCCAAAAAATCAATGCTGGAAATTCTGAGGGCGGACCCACGCTTTACGTAAGTACTGATCCCTTTGGACTGCAACGATTTTACTTTTTTTTTTCTTCCTACACATTTTCACAGAAAGTCGCAGAGCAGCTATTTCTGGTGCACGAACATATAGAGACTTTGCAGTGATTCTGTAGAGAATGTAAGATTCCAAAGGGACTGGATAATGTAGACCATGATAAGCTGATTTATCTTGTACTTAACAAAGAACCAGAGGACACGGCCTGTGATTGAAGGGGGGTAAATTCAGAACAAATCTGCTGAAACACTACTTCAGTGAGCAAGTAGTAAACATGTGGAACAAGTTCCCTATGGCGACAGTGGAAGTAGAAAGTATCGATTCTTGCAATAGATTTCTGGTACAAAATAATATCTCAGGATATAACATATAGTTTGGGCACACAACATGTCATATGACTGTCAGAATGGTGGAAGGAGAACTGGATCTGCTAGACAAAAGGGCTTTGATCTCCTTTGCCTAGCAAATTCTTATGTATTTAAGTAACTGAAAAATGATTGAGAAAATTCCATTCATGTCGCTCTTTAATTTTGATAATGCAGCAGTTTTGTCACATTTACTCATTTCTATTCCCCCTGGGAAAAGGGGAGTATGTGGCAGGGATCAGAGAAGTGACTGGGAGAGAGCAGGTGGGATGGAGTATAGGTGGACGGGAGATGCAGAGAAGACAAATGAGTGGGAGGCAGTGAGGGAGATAGTGTGTGAGGGACAAGAAAGAGTAGGGACAGCATAGTGAGCGAGAGTCCAGGGTTACGGATTTAGTTGCAATACAGAAGGGATAAAAAATTCAGATAACTTAGATGGGATAATTGCTCTTTTCTCACCACAATCTTGCTGACCACTGTTAGATATTTCCCTTGTCATCGAAATTGCATTAAAACTCTGGTAACGTTTCTCATCAGCATATTCCTGTCTCTGATGGAGTCTGCTGATTTGTTGGATCTACTCATTGCTGAAGGATCCTGGACTTTATTTGTTCCAACAGATGATGTGTTTGAAAGTATCTCTCCTGATGAGATGGAGCAGCTAAAAAGTCAGTATATCGTATATATAGATGTCAACAACAACATCAACAACTTGCACTTATATAGCGCCCTCCACGCAGAGTAGGGTCTCCAAGCGCTTAAATGTCCTTTGTTTCTGTAAATGAATGTTTCTTTGCAGAAATATTCTCTTCACTGGAACTCCACAATTGCATTGCAGAAGTTGCTATTCTGAGTTGAATTGAATGATAAGAATGACAGAGTGCCCTTCACCCTTTTCAGTATGCTGCTGAAGAACAGGGTCCACATAAAAGTTTTACATTTGGTCAGTCAGGTGATGGTACGTGCTGGGACCAGGAGCAGAAACCCTGACTGTGTTTCCTCTCTCTAATCCAAGGAAGGATTTATCCTCCTCATTTCAGCCCCACTGAGACCAACAAACTCAACACCAACCAGGATTCAAACAACCATAAACTGGAGCCATACACATTACAGGCTACATATATATTATATACAATATGTACAGCATGAGTTATATACACTGTATTTGTCAGGAGCTATGGACATTATATTAACTGAGGACTACCCTACCATTTAGTTTAAAGGATCATGAAAAACATGCACTAAAATTGTTCCTCATTTCACAGGTAATAAAAATGCTCTCAGACACATCCTCATGTACCACCTTCTCAAAGGAGTTTTCATTGGAGGAGGGATTGAATATGGAGTCACAAACATACTGAAATCGTACCAGGGCAGCAGGGTGATGGTAAAATTGGTGAGTTTACTTAACACCGAGCTGAAATAAAACACTCTGCTTTATTTGAAAGTATCCAGAAATGTTTGCGCCACACAATGAGACAGCACTTGAAATGCAAACCATTCCCATTCGCAGCTTGTAGCATTGCATGGGTCAAGTGTTGCTTTAAAGTAATTTGAGAATGAACTTTCATCAACAAATGATCTAAATTTTCAGGTAAATGAGACATTGCTGGTGAATGGTTTGAAGTCCAAGGAATCTGACATCATGGCAAATAACGGTGTCATTCATGTGGTCAACTCTTTACTCTATCCTAAAGGTGAGCTTTCCACTTTCTATGGGATCACTCAGATCTATCTGTTTTATCATAATCTCATAATCTCTGACAAACCAGTTTTCATCTTGGTAGGGAACTGAAATGATCATTACTGATCTCTCTGGCTGCCTATTGCCTGTGAACGGCATTCAACAAATTAGCTGTCGAGGTTCCAATTCATTAGACCACAAGAATACAAGATTGGTTTGGATGAAGAAGGCCCTTTGGCTCATCTGATTTCATCCCTCCAGAATGCCTATCGCCCCCATCACAGCACCAAGCTGCTTTTTAAATGAGTCCAGTGCCCTGGCCACAACTGTCCTTCCTGGGAACTTGTTGTAGTCATTAATTATCCTCTGGATAAAGAAACTTCATAGTGTTCAATATTTGTCTGCTACTATCCAAACAACTCAGAAGTAAGTTCAGTTTAAGTATGAACAGTTTCAATGCATTAGTCATATGCTGTAGGTGACGTGGGTGAAATTTAGCCAGTGTGATCTGAAACAACGCTCAAAGGCAGCCTCCAGGATTTAAAATAAGAGTTATTCCCAAAATCCAAGTTATCAGCAATTTTTCAAAAGCGGCAATGTGATGACATTAAAACCTTTTGTACCTGTTTCAATGTGGTCGCATAGAATCTTGTAATCAAATGTCACAAATGTTAGTTCACAGCTTCTACACTTTATTAGACTACAGGAGCGCTACAGCCATTTGAGTATTTGTACAAATTATATTTATCTCTTTTTATTTAACAGATCTCCCTGTGGCAAATGAGGTTCTGTACAGGTTTCTAACAAGAATATTGAAATATATTGAAATAAAGGTATGTTTTTAACTCTAATGTTTATACAGCAAAAGGCCAAATTCATTTCCGTGAAGTGACATCAGCAGTGCTTCCTTCACATGGAGCAAGTGCACATGAGCAGGAAGTGATGTTAGTGTTTTCTGTGCATGTGTAGTGTGCAGTAAGTGACATTAACAATGACCTTCCATTATTAGTAGGAAGGATTATTCATCAGGATTTGTAAACGACTCATGTAAGATGAGTCTCAATGTTGGGGAGGGGAGAAATCAGTGAGTATCTCTCCTCCCTCATCCCCATTCCCCCCACTCCTGCCTCACAACCTGGACCCCCCTCCCCTCCCACACACCCTTCTGTCAACCGCTCCCTCCACATCGGACTGCAAAATGTCCGCTCCCTCTGCAACAAGGCCCTGGTCATCAACGATCTCATCCTTGATGAGAACGTTGATATCATGGCCTTGACAGAAACGTGGCTCACCCCAGGCGACACCTTCCCCCTCACGGAGGCCACGCCACCCGGCTACACCTCCCACCACATCCCCCGCCCCAACCGCCGTGGCGGTGGTGTTGCCCTTATCTCAAGGACACCACTTGCCCTATCCCCCTACTCCACTGGCTCTTTCCCCTCCTTTGAGCACCTCACCCTCTCCCACCCCTCATTCCTCTCCCTTAAAATCCTCCTCCTCTACCGGCCCCCTAAAACCTCTCCCACCTTCATCTCTGACATTTCAACACTCCTCACATCTCTTTGCCTCTGCTCCGATCGCCTCATCATCCTGGGCGACTTTAACCTACACTTCACCCCCTCCTGCTCCATCTCCACAGACTTCTCTTCCCTGCTCTCCTCACTCAACCTCTCCTTACACATAAACTCCCCCACTCACAGTCACGGCCACCCACTCGATTTGGTGATCACCCGGGGCCTCAGTGTCTCGGATGTCACTATTACCGACAAGGCCATCTCTGACCACCACTTCATCTCCTTCACCACCTCCACCCCCCTCCCCACCTCCACCAGACCCACCACCATCTTCTACCGCCCTTGGAAGAAGTTACCCCCACAATCCCTAACCGATGCCTTGGAGTCCTCTGAACTCCTCTCCCTCTGGCCTTCAACCCTCACCGACCCCTCTTCTCCTCTCTCCCTCCTCCACAATACCCTCTCCTCCACACTCGATACTCTTGCCCCCATCACTTCCCGCACTGTCTCCTACTCCCGCTCCTCCCCCTGGTACACCACCCACCTCCGCTCACTGAAAAGCCAGGTGCGGGCTGCTGAACGCACCTGTGTCAAATCTGGCCTAACGGTCCACCGACAAATCTGGCTGGACCTCCTCAAAATTTACCGCTCCACTCTAGCCTCGGCCAAGTCGTCCTTCTACTCCAGGATAATCCTGGAGGCGAAGAACAACCCCAGGCTACTGTTTTCCACCACAACCCGACTCCTCCGTCCCCCCCGCCACCCCGCGCAGGTCATCTCCTCCAACCTTCACTGCGAGGAGATGCTGGATTTCCTTGAATCCAAGATCAAGGGAATCCGCTCCGCGGTCACTTCCCCTCCAACTTCCACCCACCACCCACCCCTTCCCTCCCACACTCCGACTCCTACCCATCCTCCCCTACACACCTTCGTACCCGTTTCCCCACCCTCTGTCACTGAACTCATCCTATCCCTAAAACCAACCACCTGCTCCCTTGACCCCATCCCCACTCCACTCCTTATCTCCCAGCTCCACTTTCTTGCCCCACATATCACTGACATCATCAACCTGTCCCTCTCCTCTGGCTCTGTCCCCATTCCATTAAAAACTGCCATCATCACGCCCACCCTGAAAAAACCCTCCCTTGATGCGTCGCAGCTATCAAGTTACCGGCCCATCTCCAACCTCCCCTTTCTCTCCAAGGTCTTGGAAAGAGTTGTCGCCTCCCAACTGCGCTCTTTCCTTTCCACCCATTCTCTTTTCGAACCCCTTCAGTCAGGTTTCCGTGCTGCCCATAGCACAGAAACTGCCCTGGTCAAGGTCACCAATGATATCCTGACCATCTGTGACCAGGGCTCCCTCTGTCTCCTCGTCCTCCTCGACCTATCGGCAGCATTCGATACGGTCGACCACGCTATCCTACTCCACCGCTTGTCCTCCCACCTCAACCTTCAAGGCACTGTCCTTGAATGGTTTAGGTCGTACCTTTCTCACCGTCTTCATTTCGTCTCGACGAATGGCTTCTCCTCCACCCCCCGCACTGTCTCATGTGGTGTCCCTCAGGGCTCTGTCCTCGGTCCCCTCCTCTTCACCCTCTATATGCTCCCCCTTGGTGACATCATCCGCAGACATGGAGTTAACTTCCACATGTATGCGGATGACACCCAACTCTACCTTTCCTCCTCTACTCTCAACTCCACGACCACCGATGTCCTGACAGCCTGCCTGTCCGACATCGAGTCCTGGACGAGAGACAACTTTCTTCAGCTCAACGTGCGAAAAACCGAGGCCCTCCTGATTGGCTCACGTCAGCGCCTCCGCACCTCAGGCGCTGACACCATCAGCATCCAAGGCTGCACTCTCCACCTCGCAAAGCCAGTCAGGAACCTCGGCGTTTTGTTCGACCCTGAGCTGTCCTTTCTCCCTCACATCCGCACCACAACTGGCACCGCCTTCCATCACCTCCGGAACATCGCCAGACTACGGCATTACCTCACCCCTCACGCTGCTGAAACCCTGGTCCACGCCTTTGTCACCTCAAGGCTGGACTATGGGAACTCTCTCCTCGCCGGCCTTCCCGCCACCTCCCTCCACAAGCTGCAGGTCATTCAGAACTCTGCAGCTCGTGTACTGTCCCGCACCAGGCTTCGGGACCACATCACTCCCACCCTCGCTCGCCTCCACTGGCTCCCCATCCCCCAGAGGATTGATTTCAAGATCCTCATCCTCACCTACAAGGCCATTCACGGCCTTGCTCCCTCCTACCTCTCCAACCTACTATCCCCCTACCTACCTGCCCGTACCCTCCGTTCCTCTGGCTCCGGTCTGCTCCACGTCCCCCGCCCCAACCGCCCTACCATCGGTGGTCGGGCCTTCAGCCTCTCAGCCCCCAGGCTCTGGAACTCCATCCCCCAGTGCCTTCGCCTTGCTTCCTCCCTTTCCTCCTTCAAGGCCGGTCTCAAAACCTTTCTCTTTGACCGAGCCTTCAGCTCCCCTCTCGACTCTCTTCCCCCTCCTCGCTCCCTCCCTTCCCTCCCCTCACCCTGACCATTTCCCCCCTGCTCGGGTCATGACCCAACTGTGCAGCGCCTTGGGACGTCCTCCTGACGTGAAAGGCGCTTTATAAATGGAATCTTGTTGTTGTTGTTGTTGTTGTATCTATGCACAACTTCCCGTAAGAGTTGGTACGATCTTAGTTGCAGTATTTATTAAGTGGATTGCTTAATAGACCTCCAGTAGATCATGTCAGAGCTGTTCTCACTATTTTAGGGTAGTTGTGCGTGGGACTTCAGGAGATGAAAGAGAGATAGACGGATACTTGGGTAGTAATGGTATTAAGGGGTATGGACATGGCGCATAACATTGGGATTAAAAGCTTTACCATGTCTAACAAACTGGTAGAACAAGCTTGATGGTCTGAATTGATATTTGTTACGTGTATTTTGTATGTTAACTTATTTATACAACTTAATAATAATCAATAACTTATTTATACAAGCCATTTTGTGTTTCTTTTTCTTATATAGCACATCCCAAGTTACACCTACAAGGAAATCAGAATACCCTATATCAGTAAGTTTTATTGTTTTGAGTGTTCTTAAAGTTTGAAATGGTGTGAATTGTCCTCTCGTTTACGAGGCGAGGGCTCCAACCAATGTCTGGTGCAAGAAATGGAATAGGACCTTTAAAAGTGTATAAAGATATAAAGACATATTGGTCACATAAATACCCAAGCCCATATTAGAAAACACGGTTTAATAAATAATAAGGCAACATTTAATGCATATAGTCCAAGAGAAGCAGTCATCTTTAATTAATTTTGACTCCTACCTCTATGTTCCTGGATCTAAATGAGTTGTTTCCATTTAAGTAATGGATTAATATCTTTTCTTTCCAGCAACTCACATCACAAAAATCACACGAGTTATAACAAGTAAACCAGAAATAAGAGTCTTCAGCGATGGAGAGACAATCACCAGGGTCATTGAAGGCCGTAAGTTCTCTTATTATTATTATTTCATTATTACATTCTCTTACTATTCATTATTTTTATTTGCTAGTGTTGAAATCTATGTTGGTTCATACTGTTTAATGAGTAAATTAATTAACTATATGTTTACTAATGGATGGGATGGATAAAATACGTAATAGGCGTCCTATCAAATTCTGCGTATGTATTATGCAGGGATTTTGTTCAGTTGATTGGAAGATTTGATGTACTTGGCACTATCCTCAATACTTACAGCAACTAAAGGAAATTCCTGCATAGTACATATAGTAATCTTTGCATCTGATCTATAGAAATGCAATATATTGTTGTTGCTCTTGTTGATAGAGAGCTTTATCATACTTGACCTGCAGGTGCTCAGTTCTGGCTAAAATGAGAAATATTTTGCACCTTGTGCCCCTAATGTAAATATGCGTGTAACCTTGATCAGTGGAAACCACCCCTTTTTAAAAAAAATCAAAGCTATACCGGCAACAGGAGGTTACATAGAGTGAAACATTGATATTATGAATGGGTATCTGGAATCAATGTTATCTGTCTTGCAGTGCAGTACTCTCCAGTCATTCTGTTGTCATTGTTTCAACACAAATGCTTTGTAATCTCTCTTCTCAGAACCATCTGAATATGCATTTGATACCGATGCGGAGTCCCTGACCAAACTTATTCGCGAAGGAGGTGAGTTTCAATAATATGTTAAGCCGTTTTCCAATGTTTCGCCTAGAGGCGAAAAAATTTGATATTTCATACAGATTCAGTGTTATAAGTTTCATATCAGATTGGTCAGAAAACATCATATTTTTCAATACATTCCTGAAACCTAACCATGAAACTTGAAACAATGAGTATGAAATAAATAATGTCAAATCAGCAGACACCCTGGCATTGGAGCAAACTTCCCCAGATACTGACACAGTATCGAGACTGGAAAGAAGCAAGAAAGGGGCTAAGGTGTTGGGATTGCCGGATAGAGTTACAGAGTGGGGGCAGAGATGCTGAATGCCTGACTGCCAATGGTGGGTCGGGAAGTGCGGGGGACTTGAAGGAGGCCAGTGTCCGCCGAGCGGAGGGAGCGGACAAGCTGATATCGTGTTAGGAGATCGGAAAAGTAGGAGGAGCAAGACGGTGGAGGGATAAGAGATGTAACCTGTTACATCTGGAAATGTTTCTATTCAATCATACAATGAAGAAGCAGTGGTTAAAAGCCAAAGTATTAGCTTTTAACTTGTCTTATGTTAGATCACTGCAGTTATCTCTGACCTACTGTAACAGCTCCTAATGAGTGTGAGAAGAGGTTGGAAGCCAAAAACCTACATTTACCACTACAACACAACATCAACAACTTGCACTTACCTAGCGTCCTTCATATAGGATAACATCTCAGAGTACTTCACAATGGCATGGGTGGACGCTGAGCAAGGGAGAAATGGGAAGTGACCGTAGGCACAGTCAAAGAGCAAGGTACTAAAGTGGGATTTAAGAGTAGAGAGGGAGCAAAGTGGAGGGATAGAGGTGTAGTGACTGAAGGCTTGGCCACCGATGGTAGACATGCCTGTGTTAATTAAGTAGAGTAATTATTTTCTGCTGAGTCCTCTGTTCAAGGAAGAAAACTACAAGGCCAGAATCACATGCCTAACTCTAACTATATTATATAATATAAGGTGACCAAAAAATTGTGATACCATTACAAAGTTAAAGAAATGATGATATTTTTGTTTCTTAGATAATAGGGTAGATATCACGACTTTTTGGTCACCTTGCATAATTTTTTTTCACTGTTACTTCCCATTATTTTGTACTCTGGTACCCAAATTCCGGATGCTCTGAATTGTTATGTGCAGTAAATCAACACCCAGGTGGAATTTCTCCTCTATGTCTTCTCTTGGCCAGTGAATAAAGTATTGAATGAAGACAGGAGCATCATTGATTAATCTAAAACTCACCAGGAAGGACAACGAATAAAATTGACAACATTTTTGCGAAGTGGATATATATTTGAATCAGTGAACTCGATGGTTTTCAACATTGCAATTTTCAATTGCTACCTTGAATATTTTGACAGTTACGATCAGAGGATTCAAGCTATGGATAGTTGTTTCTCTCCATTTTCTATATATTATGTATGTCTTTGCTTGGTAGAGCTAGAGAAGTGTTTGAGATTCACCATTGACCTGTATCCTATCAGGAACACACTACACCAAGGTTACCAAGATAATTGAAGGTGACCCTAAATTACTTGAAGATGAAGAAATCCAAAAACTCCTTCAAGGAGGTTAGTGAAATGGTGTCTCTGGCCTTCATCTCATGAGGCATGTATTACCAGAGATTAAAAAAATCATCCTCTATTCCCGATTGTAACCCCAACAATCTAATTGCCTGTGACTACCTATGTTTCTCCTCAATCAGCATGTGGAATTAACATGAGCCATGTGTCTGGTCAAAATTGTTTTAGAGAATAGTGAAACCCCGCCTGTGGAGATACCCAATCCCAAGCCATCCTTTTAACCATTAATAACCAAACAAAGGTTGCTTTGTGTTTATTGGTAAAAGTCTTGTCCTCTGAATGCTGAATGTGTATACCATGCTTGTGGAGATTCCCTAACCTACTCCGGGCTTAATGTTCCACCTGGATTTAGCCTAAAATTCTTCAATTCAGTCTTAATTTTGAAGCTGTTTTCTATAGCTCTTAAAAAAAAGACCTGCCTCCAAATTAGGAGCAAATTTGAGAATTTTCCCCAATTCTGCACAATCTTGCATTTTAAGACAAAAAGGTCTTACAGGCTAAAAACAGGGTGGAATTTCAGGTGTCTTGCATTTATTAGGTCTAATATAGTACTTGGTGGTATTAGACGTACCTTGGATATTTGGATACTCAAACCAACCGGTGAAAATTCTCCCTTACCTTCTCCTCTTTAATTATGGTTGCATTTGAACATCTGAGAGCCTCAAACTGAGGCCTGTGGAAACATTCTTTACCTGCATTCCTCACTGATAATCTAAGGGTGGACTTCTTTACACATCTTGCTTTTAAACTAACTAAGCCCCTGGCACTTGAGAAAACCCACCACAGCATTTGGAGCCCGCAGATTAAGAGTCAACAACAGCAACAACAATGTATATTTATATAGTGCGCTTCACATAGGATCAATTGTTAGAGAGCCTCACAGGGCTGGGGATGGACACCGAGCAAGGGAGAAGGGATAGGTGACCATAGGCGTGGTTGAAGAAGAAGAGTTTTTAGGTTGGGCTTTAAGACAGATAGAGAGGGGTGAGATGGAGGGTTAGACGTAGGGAGTTTCAAAGGATGGCAGTGTAATTGCTGAAGGTTCAGCCACAAATGGTAGGGTGGGCGACATGCAACAGACCAATGTTTGCCAAGTGGATGGGGTGAGAAGAACAATACGGAGGTGGAAAGAAATTTATAGATGAAGTTGAGGTCATTGAAATCGATCCATTAGATGATGGAACCAATGGAACCTGGTGAGTTCTGGGGTGATGGGTGCACGGAGTTTGTTGTGGGTGAGGACGCAGGCAGCAGAGTTTCAAATGAGCTGAGGTTTTCGGATGGTGGAACTATGGAGACCGGCAAGGAGGCTGGGGTCCCTTCCTCATTAAAAAACATAATGGAGTTTAGTTTCAGTTTCACTCACTCCCAAAGTTGTTTCCATTTCCACTTGTTCAATACTTAAGTCAATCTCAACCCAAAGACCCCCGTCCCAAATTACCCTCTTCAATAGAAATCATTTGTGTTCACTATTGTGCTCTAGATATCCGGATATTCAAATGCAACCTCCTCCCCTGCATTCTCCCCTTCATTAACAATCTTAGTAAACATCTTGATTTTGAGAAAACAGTACGGTGAGTATTTTGGAAAGATGAGATCAAGTGAGCTGAAAAGCCCTCTTCATCCATATCTTTCTTGTGTTCTTTGTATTTAATAATAATAATGCTTGCATTTGATATATTGCCTTATCACGTCTTCAATACATCTCAAAGCGTTTCACAGGACATACTGTAAAGCGAATTGACTGTATATTTTGAGGGTGAAACTTTCACTTTGATTTTGTTTTACTAGTCCTGTAGCTCAGTGGTTAGAGCACTCGCTTTGCAAGCGAGAGACCTGAGTTCAATTCCAGGCAGGGCAAAACCTTGGGCAAGTTTCCTTACTCCACACGCCTAATAATAATCCCTCCAAAAAAAACCTACAATAAATTGGTCATTTTCAATCCATGACTGTTTGTGGGACACTGCTGTGCGCAATTGGCTGCCGCGTTTGCCCACAAATATACAATCAAATTCACTTTATAGTCTATTCTGTGAAGCGCTTTGGGACATTGAGAAGACGTGAAAAGCGCTATATCAAATGCAAGGATTATTATTATTATTACTTCCAGCTGCTGGAATGGCTCCTAACTTTCAATTGGTTTGTTTATTTAGCGTTAGGATTATGTAGGCCACCATCTGGTGAAGAACCGACAAATGTGTGCTCTCTTGGCCATGCTTTAAAAACATGTCGCAGAGCTCTGAATAATAAATCTAAATTCTTTAATGTTGAAACAAGCGCAGCCTCGTGCAGTGCCGTCCCCCAAATCAGCGCTACCTAATATAACCCGAGAACCAACACTTTGGCAACGATTCTTACTTTAGGAAGCAGCAGTTCAAAGTTCACCAAAATTACCATTGATGGCAATCCAGATTTTGAAGATGCGGAAGAAATCACCAGGCGACTTAGAACACGTAAGTGCACGCTCAATGAATTACAACCTATTTGCAATTTTATTCCCTCAGTTGGCACACTGAATAAAATACAGGAAATGAAATGGGAGCAGCGAGAGTGTATTAAGTGTTAGCATGTGTTAGTGTTTAATGGGGCACTGGAGGAGATTTCAGGACAGCTCAGATCAGAGAAGAGATGGAACTTTTCTCGAACCACATAGCTCTTAGCTTATATAATGTTTGCTTCCGTATAATGTTCATGACAGTAGAGCAGGGCCTCTGACCATCACCTTGACTATCTTGGTTGATCAGCTGAGAACCATGTTGATCCCATACATATGAACATAGGAAGGTACAAGCTCAAAAAAGAACATTGTACTGCATCTGGTCAGTTCCACAATAGATAAACAGATAATGCTCTTTATCTGTTATACACTTCATGTAAGTCTTCTTTATCTAATATATACGTAATTCCATCTTGAATTTGCTTCCAAAACATCTGCAGGTTCTGAAGGGTCAAGGTTTTAAAAAGGAATGAATATCTGGAAAGAGATTTAGATTTTAAAGGTATCTTTGTTTTATCAACCGGGTAAAATTTACTTGTATCTATTTATTTTAAGAACCTGGAAAAAGAGTTTCCTATCGTCACAGAAGAGTACCAGGTATGAATGACATTCACTGGGTGGGGCGGGGGGGGGTGGGTGGAATCTGCAACATTTCATAACAGATTTGATGTGTTGATGATAATGATAATAATAATAATAATAATAATTCCATTTGATATAGGAGCTTTTAGTCAGGAGAATTCACAAGGATTATTGTAAACTGAGGTGATTATGCACTGGGGTTATGCCTTCACAGATATCAGCCTGGCTCAGGTAGTAACACTTTCACTTCTGCGTCAGAAGGTTGTGGGTTCCACCCCCATGCCGGGACTTTGAATACAAACAACCCAGCCTGATACGACTGAGGTCCCATCCACCTGTTCAGATGAAAGTTAAAGATCCCAAAGCACTATTATAATAATAATAATAATCCTTGCATTTGATATAGCGCTGTTCACGTCTTCTAGACGTCCCAAAGCGCTTCACAGAATATACTGTAAAGTGAATTGACTGTATATTTCAAGAAAGAGAAGGGAGTTTCTACCAGTGTTGTGGCCAACAATTCCCCAAATAACATTAGTCATTTTCTCAAATTTTATCATTGTGCATGAAAGTGCTCAGGTGAGGTAAAGGTGTGTCAATTGATACAGAACTGAAAAACAGATCCTCTATGTTCCGGTTTGAATTGTCTCTTGCACACACAGGAGATGGGAATACAAACTCGTTTACCTTTGAAACTTATCAAAACACACAGGCTGATAAATGTCACATCTGTGAGCCCATGAATTTATTTGACAATAATAGTAAATCATGCCTGAATGTTTGAAGGGTCCTCCCAGTGTAAAATCACTACATAATGTAAAATTGTTGTTGAATATTACAACGCAACAACTTGCATTTATATAGTGCCCTTCACGTAGGCAGAATCTTGGAATGCTGCAAAGTAGGAATTGGTAAAGGTACTGATATATTTTGTAAAAGCTGATGCTTTTTGTAATTAATTTCCCAACATAACAGAATAATTTCAGGCTGCTCTAAACCAAATTCCTCCTTTTTGTAATTTTTCTCATTAAGTTGGAGCGAGGAAGGCAAGACAAACGACAAAGAACACCTCTCGAAGAAAAGTACTTGGAAAAAGGAATTAAAACTTTTTCTACCTGAAAATGCAGGACATACAACTAAATGAGAACAGTTGAAATTAATGATGTGGCCTGACCTCCAGCAAGCCCAAATTAACAGGATGTCGGATTTGCACATGTCATACCTACAAGCTCGTATCAGTTTACAATGAATGTGGAACAGCAAAAGTCAGTGGTCAAAACATTTTAACTAAACCATTTTCCTACATTTGTATTCAGAATTTAGTGTATTTTAGGTTTGATTCTGGATGCTTTTCATTGCTAGTATTGAACGTCAAGTCAGGGAATTGTAAAATGTAGTCATCTGCTTAAAAGCCATTTAACAATCACTTTTACCCAGTAACAGTAAAAACGCTTGATCCACTGGGTTAAAATAAATAAATGAATGAAATGCATATCCTTTGGTTTCCTTAGAGGTGTGACTATCTAAGCAGCATAAATTTGCTGAGAAACATAGCAAATACAAATGTGTTTTTTCCAAATTAAACAGCTTTGCTTACAAAAAAAATTAACTGTTTGTGTGTTTCCATTTTCTGGAGGGAACTTGCTAATGCATGGAAAATGGTGCCTTTGCATGCTTAAAAAGAAATGTATTGCTGCCAGAACTCCATCTAATGATATGGGTGTACTTTTGGCCATTTATTTTGTATTAAGAAATAAAAAGCTTTCCAGTTCACAAGCACAAATTTAGGTTGGTCCAAAATATGTTTTTGTAAATTGGGTCAGTTGACTTTGAAATGTTTTTTATAACTTTTTTGAACCTTTAAATGACTTACTATTTCTGCTCTCGCAGGTTTGAGCTTTGCCTAAAATGTTCTAATGGCACTATTTTGGGGGAAAGGACCCCACCTTAGCCTTGCCTGAAATCTATGGAAAGCAATTTGCTTAACTTGGTGCTCTGTTTTTTTTGTATTTCTTTTGAGAAACAATTATTCATTAAAAGATATTTCCTCAGAGATGAATTCTTAGTTTTATTTTGTTCTTTAGTTATCAACCTGACTCAGTTGGTAGCATTCTCATCTCTTGAGTCAGAAGGTCATGCTTCAAGTCCCATGTCGTGACTTGGAGCTTGAGAGTCTTGGATGACACTCCAATGTAGTCCTGGAAGTGATGTATTGTTGGAAGTGCCATCCTTTGGATAAGATATTAAACCAGGCTTGTCTGCCTTTTAGGTCAATGTTAAAGATCCTATAGCAGTATTTGTAAAGAGAAGGGAATTTCTCCCAATTTTTCTGTGCACTAAATTAACAGCTGCATTCGCATACAAAATAGACAAGTCACTGCACGCTACAATAAATTCTGTGAAGTGCTTTGAAATAATAATAATCCTTGCATTTGATATAGCGCTTTTCACGTCGGGAGGACGTCCCAAAGTGCTTCACAGAACACACTGTAAAGTGAATTGACTGTATATTTGTGGGCGAACGCGGCAGCCAATTGCGCACAGCAATGTCCCACAAACAGTCGTGGATTGAAAATGACCAATTTATTATTGTTTTTGGTTTTGGAGGGATTATTATCAGGCTCTGTGTGGAGTAAGGAAACTTGCCCAAGGTTTCGCCCTGACCTGCCTGGAATTGAACTCAGGTCTCTCGCTTGCAAAGCGAGTGCTCTAACCACTGAGCTACAGGACTCCACATGTTTCACAAAGTGCTAAAGCAAATACAAGGTTTATTATTAGTTGTAGGAAACACTCTTTAAGCTATTTGAAAATTATTTTTACACAATACAAATTCTAATACATTGGCTCCTCTGCTGAATTGCACATCTTCATGCATGGCTATAAACAGTATTCTGTTGATGCATTACTCAGTAGCATCTTCAATTGTTTTAATATTGTCAGGAATGTTCTTTTCCAAGCTGTTTCTGTCTAAGCAATGAGAGATCTAAAATAGATCGAGAATAGATCAAGTGAGAGGACACAGATTTGATTCCCGGGCAGGACAAAACCTTAGGCAAGTTTCCTTACCCACACTCCTCTGTTTACCACCTTGCTTACAAAGTAGATCTAAGTATGAACCCAGTTGTTAGTCGATTGTGAATCGCTCTCTGGAGATAATTTTAAAATAATAAATAAAATAATAATAATAATTTGGTCACTCAATCCACGACTGTTTGTTGACTGTGTTGACTGTTTCCAACACTGGAGTCCACAAACTTGGCAGGTTGGTGGGGAGTCAGCAGGTCAGAGAGGTAGGAGGGGGCAAGGCCATGGATGGCCTTAAAGGTGAGAATGAGAATTTTGAACTCGATCCTCTGGGGGACGGGGAGCCAGTGGAGTCGGGCGAGGATGGGAGTGATGGGAGTGATGGGGTCACAGAGCCTGATGGGTGAAAGTACACGAGCTGCAGAGTTTTGGATGATCTAACACATGGAACATAATGAAACGTGGCATTTTTCCATCTTCACTATGATAATTTCCCAAGCTTTGATTTGATAGGGATTAGAAGTAAAACTACATTTTACACTAGAATTCTAAAAATACAGCATCACACACCAATGTGTTTGCTGTTTACCCTGGCTTATGTAGAACCAGTCACCATGGAGAGTGGGTCTCAGTGTCCTTGGGTTAGGGAGTGAGAAAAACAGCCAGGGCTCCTGCTCTTGATCTCTGTCCAGAAACTCCTGCAGGAAAGTGGTTGTCAGGTGGGGACAACAACAACAACAAATTACATTTGTATAGCACCTTTCACGTCAGGAGGACATCCCAAAGCGCTGGACAGACAGGGATTTGGACCAGAACTGGGGTTGGAATCAGGAGGGGTGGAGGGCAGGGAGGGTAAGGGTAGGAGGGTGACCAAAGGCACAGTCAAAGAGGAGGGTCTTGAGATGGACCTTGAAGGAGGCAAGGAAGGAGGCGAAGGCACTGTGAGATGGAATTCCAAAGGGTAGGGACAGAGCGGCTGAAGGCCCAACTGCAATAGTGGGGCAGGCCAGGCGGGGGACATAGAGCAGGCCAGAGCCACTGCGCGATCAGAGTGAACGGACAGGTCTGAGTAAACATATAGACACATTCAAAGGAGATGGTTTGTCTCGCGGGACTACAGCAACAACAAGATTCCATTTATAGAGCGCCTTTCACGTCGGGAGGATGTCCCAAGGTGCTGTACATTTGGGTCAGGACCCGAGCAGGGGGGAAATGGTCAGGGTGAGGGGAGGGAAGGGAGGGAGCGAGGAGGGGGTAGAGAGTCAAGAGGGGAGCTGAAGGCACGGTCAAAGAGAAGGGTCTTGAGACCAGCCTTGAAGGAGGAAAGGGAGGAACCGGCGAAGGCACTGGGGGATAGAGTTCCAGAGCCTCGGGGCTGAGAGGCTGAAGGCCCGGCCACCGATGGTAGGGCGGTTGTGGCAGGGGATGTGGAGCAGACTGGAGTCAGAGGAACGGAGGGCACGGGCAGGTAAGTAGGGGGAAAGTAGGTCAGAGAGGTAGGAGGGAGCAAGGTCGTGAATGGCCTTGTAGGTGAGGATGAGGATCTTGAGTTCGATCCTCTGGGGGATGGGGAGCCAGTGGAGGCGAGCGAGGGTAGGAGTGATGTGGTCGCGAAGCCTGGTGCGGGACAGTACACGAGCTGCAGAGTTCTGAATGACCTGCAGCTTGTGGAGGGAGGTGCCGGGAAGGCCGGCGAGGAGAGAGTTCCCATAGTCCAGCCTTGGGGTGATAAAGGCGTGGACCAGAGTTTCAGTAGCGTGAGGGGTGAGGTAGTGCCGTAGTCTGGCGATGTTCCGGAGGTGATGGAAGGCGGTGCCAGTTGTGGCACGGATATGAGGAAGAGAGGACAGCTCAGGGTCGAACAGAACACCGAGGTTCCTGACTGGCTTTGACGGGTGGAGAGTGCAGCCTTGGATGCTGATGCTGTCACTAAAATCCATGCATCACATTGAAATAAAGTTCTGTTGAGAACGTTTGATTTCACTGGGTGGTAATTGCAGTAAATTCAATGAATTTGCCTACAAAGCACTCACTCACTTCACTCTCCAGTAAACCTTGTGAAGAGATTTGAGATGAAGGGGATGTATCGAATGCAAATATTATTTTCATTCTAATTGTTGTGGCATGATGGTGCTGTGGTTTTCAATCATGCTGTGGTGGAAATTACATAACATTTTGTTACACAACAGCAAATGTCAGCTACAGCATCCTGGAATCAAGCTATTTGGTAGAAATGAAGCACACACACAACACCTCCCCCGCAGCACATGGTTTAGTAAGGAACATAGGATTATTAGGTTTCAATGGTAATTATTATTATTCGATGCAACCGCTAAGCAAGGAGCAACACAGGAAAATGACTATCCAATACTCTGCTGGAAAACGACCAAATTTGGAAACCCATGCTTAAGAGTATCCAAACCAAACTGATATATATATATATATATATATATGTAATTTACACATGTAATTTTCCCAGAGTCAGAAATGGTCTGGGCTCTCTCTCCCTGGAAGATAGTTGGGTTGCCAACAGTAACTTATACTTATATAGCACTTTACACATAGAAACATGGCATCACAGAAAGGAGTAGCAGGGAGATGGCTGAAGGCACAGTCAAAGGAGTAGGTTATTCAATGTTTATTTAAAAGCAGAGGAAACCAGAAAGTGAGGTTGAAAGCTTGCCTACTGATAGTGTGCAGGGGGTGATGGAGGACATGAAGTAGGTCTGAGTCAGCACAGTGAAGGAAAGGTGTTGGGGCGTCGGTGGTAGGAAGATTGCAGAAGATCTCATAGATGTGGTGGGGCAAGGGCAAGTAAGAATTTAAAAGTTAAAACAAGGATCTTAAAATCAATCTGCTGAGGAACAGAAAGCCAATATAGCCCGGTGAAGGTGCAGGTGACAATGTGGGCTGCAGAGTTTTGGGTAATCTCGGTGTTGTTGAGGGCTAGTGAGGCCAGCAAGGAGGGTATTGGAGAAGTCACCAAAGAGGCAAAGCTGAGTACTTCTATTTACAATAGATGTTCAGTCCCTCTACATCTCCATACCCCACAAGGACCAACTGCGGGGCCTCCACTTCCACTTCGAACAGCAGCCTAACCAGTCTCCGTCCGCCACCACCCTCCTCTGCCTGGCTTCAACTTCAACTCCAACGACTTCCTCCAAGAAAAGATGTTGTTATGGGAACCCACATGGTCTATGCCTGCCTGTTTGTTGGCCAACTGGAACACTCTTTCTTCTGGACCTACTCAGGTCCGCTCCCTGACCTGTTCCTCAGATACATTGATGACAGTGCAAGCTCAAGGAACAGCTGCTCATTTATTCACTAGGGATCTTACAGTCCTCTGGCCTCAATATTGATTTCAACAATTTCAGACCATAACAGTTCACCTTCCCCCTCCCCCTCTTCTGTGACCATTACCACATCATCTGGGTCACAGACACACCTTTTCTCTCTCTGGTCTGCCTATTTTGTTGCACAGTTTTACCCCATTTGGTTTGCATTATTAACACCCTGCTTTGTTGCAATCCCCCCTTGGTTTTGCATCATTAACACCTCTTTAACCCATCATCCCCTGTCCTCTACCCCATTTTCTCCTTTGTGTTCCTTGCCCTACCTCCCTGCTCTCTGTTTGTCCTTAAAAGCCTCTCCCCAGTTCTGACGAAGGGTCATGGACCCAAAACGTTGACTCACTTTCCTTTCTCCATAGATGCTGCCTGACCTGCTGAGTGTTCCCAGTGACTTCTGTTATTGAAACAGAGTAGTTTGGTTCGTGTTCCAACAAGTTACAAAACAAATATAACACCGGCTCAGCATCAGGCTCCTCCATTGTTAAGTGCTCCAAGACGCTACCCCAGGTGAAGGGCACTATATAAATGCAAGTTGTTGTTATTGTTGCTGTTGCTGTTGTAAACATTTCTGCAAGTCATATACATGTCACAAGTTTTACTAGTTGAGCTAATATAATGTAATATTTAAATATAATATAATGTGGTAACCAATGTTTTCCAGAAATACATTTTTAGCAAA